TTGTTGAATGGATAATTATATTTATTAAATAATTTTTTTTGGATATTGACTTATTTATTGCTTCAAACTCTTGCATAGTAGTAAATTGGATATACGACATCGAATTCAATACTGCCGGTAAGAATTATTTTCTTATTTGATTTATTGTCTCCTTGATTTAAATTTTATGTTGTTCCTACAATATAGGTGCTTTTATTTGTTTTTGAAGACACCCAGCTTGTATTTATTTTAATTAGAAAATGCGTATTTTTCACCACGGAGCAGAGATATTCACAGGTTCATTTTTAGAAGACATGTCATGACCTTAATTTCTAGAAGAGTGGTTTTTAAAGATTTCATATTGATAGCTAATAGTGTTTAAAATGTTTTCATAATAATATCTGTTCGCATGTGATAAACAAGAGGCCCAAGGGCCTTAACAGTCACCTGAGTATGATACAATAATTTAAAGGATGCATAGAGTATAAAATGAATACTGAAATCAATTCAGTATTGAAAAGCTTTAACGCATAAGTGGTCCCGACCTACCCCATAAAAGGGATGGGGGGGGAGGGGGGGAGGGGGCATGGGGGGCTATGATTTGAACAAAATTGAATCTACACTAACTAAAGATGCTTACATATTTCTTTGTCTGTGACTTTTTTTCCTACAAGTTTGAATTTACATTATGGTCCCACCCTACCCCCGGGGGTCATGGTTTGAACAAATCTGAATCTACACTATTTGAGGATGCTTCCATATAATTATGAACAATCATAGTTTGCTGTTCTTTTTTTCTTTTTTGAAAAATTTCCTATGTATTCCTATGCATAACTTTAGTCATCAATTGTGGTCCCACCTATCCCCAGGGTTTTTTTTCAAACATGAATCTACACTACCTTAGGATACTTCCGAATAGTTAATAACCAATGATGGCTTTGCTGTTCTTGAGAAGATTTTTTCTATATATTCCAATGTAAAACTTTGATCCTCCATTGTAGCCCCATCCTACCCCCAGGGGTCATGATTTGAACAAACTTGAATCTACACCACTTGAGGATGCTTCCATATAAATATGACCAATCATAGTTTTTCTGTTCTTGAGAAGAAGATATTTAAAGATTTTTGCTATATAATCCTGTGTAAAACTTTGATTGTCCATTGTGGTTCATTGTGGCCCCACCCTATCCCTGGGGGTGATGATTTGAACAAGCTTGAATCTTCACTACCTGAGGATAATTCCACTTGAGTTTCATCTTTCCTTGCCCAGTGGTTCTTGAGAGGAAGATTTTTAAAGATTTTTGCTATATATTCCTCTGTAAAACTTTGATCATCCTTTATGGCCCCATCCTACCCCCGGGGTCATGATTTGAACAAACTTGAATCTACACTACCTGAGGATGATTCCACATGAGTTTCGTCTTTCCCCATCCAGTGGTTCTTGAGAAGAAGATTTTTAAAAGATGCCATTAATTTTTCACTAATTTGTAATTATCTCCCCTTGGAAGAGGGAGTGGCCCTTCATTTGAACAAATTTGAATCCCCTTTACCAAAGGATACTCTGTGCCAAGTTTGATTGAAATTGGCCCAGTAGTTCTGGAGAAGAAGATGAAAATGTGAAAAGTTTACGACAACAATGACAACGAAGCCGACGACAGACAATGGACAAATTTCGATCAGAAAAGCTCACTTGAGCCTTTGGCTCAAAATACCAGGTGCATACCTTCATATGGTTAATAATGTGTGTACAAATTTTCAGACAAATCCATGCAATAGTCTCCGAGAACAGGTCTGGACAAAATCATGACTACAGACAGACGGACATGCTGATTCCAATATATCCCCTTAAACTTCGTTTGTGGGCAGTATAATAAAAGATACAAGGTAGGATAATATATTACTTATATAATTATATATTACTTATATAATTTCAATTTAATGTCAGTTGTTTTGTCTGTTCATTGAATGTTTTATCTTAAATACCTGGATGTCAAGGAGCAAAAGGTCGCTAACTTTGCCAGTGAAAAAATCTTAATTTGTACACTAAAGTTATATTTTTGTAAAATACAAACTCTTACCCAGGTAATTAAAAACCTTTGATCTATCATTTCCGAGTAGTTTTACATTTGCAAAATGATCCATTACTTTGCAACAGCATTTTTTGTAAACTTCTACTTTTGGTGTAAAAAATGCACTTTTTTAAGCATTCCTGCATACTTGTTCCCCCATTTAAGGGGTTTGGTTTTCCTATTTCAATTTACTCTGTGTTGAGGGTTCGACCAGACGGATGCATGCTTGCTGAATTCTTATGCTAACAAGCCCTTGTTGTCAAGGACTTCGAAGTGGCAGGACTCCATTAACATCTCTTATTTTATGGTCATTGAAACATTTGCAAATTAAGTCAATTTCATATTGAATTTTGGTAATATTTTTTTAAATTTAGGCTTGTTGTGATAGAGAGTAATTCAAAATATTTTTCTACTCTTTTGATTTCAAGATGTGTAGACATAATTTATGTTTACATGGACCAGGCAAAAATAGGTGTTGGGCATTAGGTGGTTTGAGATTAATAAAATATTTTAACACAATTACACATGATTAACAGCTTTCTTTTGAGATAAAGTGATTGGATATATTCCACTGACGACCATACTTGCCAACCTCCAATATGTAAAAATTTGGTCATGACCAGATTTGGAAAGTAAAAAATCTGGTCATAGTGCGTAACGACATTCACGACACATTTAGCACCATGATTAAATTAATATATATGTATATATAAGTATTTGTGTATTGAAATTATTTTATTAAAAATAGGCTTTAATTACAATGATAAAAAATTTAATATATATTGATTAAATTTACATGTTAAAAGAGCATTGAAGGTTTCATTATTCAGTATTGACCTGAATTAAGTGTGCAATTTTTATAAAGCAAAGTCTTTCCAAAATCTGCATTGCTGATTTGAAGTACATGGAAAGTTTGTGCTAAATTTAAAAGTATTCTCATTTTGTTTTTTGAAGTTATTTTTCCTCTCCCGAATTAATTTAATGAACAAGTGCTATTAAATGTACAGTTATGCCTACACTATCTTCGAACACTTTATTTCATCTACTGAAAGTTGTTTTCCAAGATTCCTTGATATGTACATAAATATCGTTTCTCATTTTCTTGGTTCAATTTGTTCCTGCTGGCCCTGATAATGATCTCTTTCTACCAGAAGCCATTTTAAATTGACTTCAAACTTTGATTTGTCAAACAATTTACGCCTGCACTGTTTACATGTATTTACTGGTACACGGCCTACTGAACATAGCCATCAGCATTGTTTATGTATATCCAGCTTGGGTTGTAACTGGAAGTTAAAAGTGCAACCTAATTTACGAACCAAATCCGGAAATCGGGAGATTTTCCGGTTGTTTGGAAAAAATCGGGTGAAAAGCATGACCCGCCGGGTCATAAAAAATAATCCGGTTAAGGGTAGAGAAATCGGGTGTAACCCGACGAAATCGGGTGAGTTGGCAACTATGCTGACGACAGATATACATGCATGTAATACATATGACAGTTGTAATATGCTTACTAGAATCTCTGAGCAGAATATTTTCAGCCACATATAATTATTTCACAGCACGTCCAATCATCTTTTCTTATCTTTTTGTTAGTTGTTATTATGTTACAAAATATTAAAATAAAAAATTAATGAATTGAACCAATTGAAGGGGGGGGGGGGGCATGTAAGTACAATAGTCAGAATAACTTCTTTATTATAAATCATAATAAAGGTACCAAACTTTGATGAATATTTAATTTCGTGGATTGACTCATCAAAATCCAGGAAAATTGGTGCTAAATGAACAATAATGAAACCACTGTCTAATACATACATGTGATAAGTCAAAGACCACAAAACTGTACAGGAGCCATAAAAAAACTGGAATTTGGGTGAAAAAACTGTACACTGCCTATCAAAAAACGGTACAAAAAACGGTATAAAATATTGCTTAAATTCTTCTCATATTAAAGGCACCTTATTTCTAAACCAACATATATATATTGTTGCAAATGTCTTATTTTAAAAGTTGTAATGGAGATTTGAATGCTTTAAAATTTCATATATTGTGTTTTATAATCACAATGTTCTTATGAATCGACTATAAATTAAGCTAGCTTAGATGTTAGTTTGTTTGCCAACTTTATATAGTATTATTGTGAGAGTCAATGTCATCGTCTTGTTCATATTACTGATATATACATCAGCAATGCTAAATAACAGCAGCAATCATACATAAATTTCAGCACATAAAAACTTAAAACTATATCCTTTATTTCATTTAATCATGGTAATAAACATCGTATACTTTATACCTACGAAGATCTGGGTCAGATTCATGTATATTAAGCCATGTATATCAACTTCAGAAGTTGGCTTAATTTTTTTCAATCAAGTTACGAAACATTAACAGTTAATAATTAAGTACCCCTTTAAAAATAAAGCTACCTAAAGGGGTATCTTGATACGGATTTATATCAAGATAATTATCCCAACTGGCAGTTCACACCTTCCACGCGATGGTTTGTGTACTTCAGAAGGTCAAGTGTCAAACACAGGTGACGTTTTCCAGTGTCTCGCGAGCGAGAATGAGAGGAAAATGGCGGCATTTAGCATGTTTAGTGAGAAATTCAAAATACTGTACAAATTTTCATATTCCGTGAATTTGGTGTCCTGCCGGTACATATCACATGTATGAATTAGGAATTTAAATACATGGAGCATTCCTTGTTAATTTCCAGAGTCTCCACTCAATGACATCAGACAAATGACAGCCCGGGAAACCGACATGCATATTAGCAGGCCTCTAAGAGACCTCTAAAATTTAGGTGCCAGGTTATAAGAAGTAAATTAGCAAGTTAAGTCAGGACTAGTGGTTTCAGATTGTTAGGAAGTAGCTCAACTGGTCTTTTACTCATAAAAGTTAATGTCAAACCCTGCATGATCAGGTAACAATGACCAAACTTACCCTAAAAACTGACTGCTATTGTTGAGACTGCTCTCTAAAGAGTGACTACCACTCATCAGACTTGCTGTGTAAATGGGTCTTCCTCGTTCTGGGCATTCTGTAGCATTACTTGATTCCACTTTAAAAGAAATACCTTCATTTCGCTGAAGTGAGGACAACTCCACTACAAACAAACCAGAACAAGAGGCCCATGGGCCACATCGCTCACCTAAGCACTCTGGATAGGAAAAAAAGCAGAAATCAATATTGAAAAGTTTAAATATAAATGTGGTTCCGACCATTGATCTTCTATTGAGGTCTTGCCCTACCTCCAGGGACATGATTGAACACATTTACATAGTGTAGACTCAAATTTGTTCAAATCATGACCCCTGGGGGTCAAATATTGATATGACTAATCATGGCTTTGTTGTTCTTGAAAAGAATTTTTTCAAGATTTTTGCCTAAATATTCCTATGTAAAACTTTGATCCCCAATTGTGGCCCCACCCTACCCTGGGAGGCATGATTTGAACAAACCTAAATCTACACTACCTGAGGATGCTTCCATGTCAATATGACTACACAAGACTTTGCTGTCCTTGAGAAGAAGATTTTTCAAGAATTTTTTCCCTATATATTCCTATGTAAAACTTTAATCCCCTATTGTGGACCCACCCATTCCCCAGAGGTCATGATTTGAACAAACTTGAATCAACTCTACGGATTACTCTACCTGAGGGTGCTTCCCTATAAATATGACTAATCATGGCTTTGCTGTTCTTGTTGAGAAGATTTTCAAAGATTTTCCCCATATACCTATGTAAAATTTTGATCCCCCATTGTGGCCCCCACCTTACCCCCAGGGGTCATGATTTGAACAAATTTGAATCTACATAATGTAAAGAAGGTTTCAATTAAGTTTCATTTTTTTGGCCAAGTGGTTCTTGAGAAGAAGATTTTTAAATGATACCACCAAATTTTCACTTTTTCTTAATTATCTCCCCTAGAAAGAGGGAGTGGTCATTCATTTGAACAAACTAAAATCCCCTTCACCCAAGGATACTTTGTGCCAAGTTTGGTTGAAATTGGCCCAGTGGTTCTTGAGAAGATGAAAATGTGAAAAGTTTACGACAACGACAGACAACGGACAATTTTCAATCAGAAAAGCTCACTTGAACCTTTGGCTCAGGTGAGCTAAAAAGTCAAGTTCTCTCTCCACCTCAAAAAATGTTTTATTTAGGTCAAATGACATGTTCCTGAATAATACATGTATATAATTTTCCCCAGAATTTGTGATTGAGGTAGAAATATTACTACTTTACAAGTTTACTCTTAAAACATTGAGATACATCGACTGGCATTTGTGCAAGATTCCAGGGGATAGTATTTCCTACTGTAAACCTGTTTAATTCCACATGTTCAATATTTCACAATTTTCTTTACTGGTATATTTCATGGTAGTATAATTTCATGGATGTTAAAATTTTTCTATAAAAGATATTTGTAATTTTGAAAAAAAAAATTTCTTTAAAAACAAAGAAAGCTATTGTGGACTATACAGGTGACTCTCGAAGTTCAAGGGACCATAAGAAAAGTTCGAGAGATTGGGGGGTTCAAGAGATAGAAAGTGAATAAAATCTGGAATTATCAGTTCTGATCATCATTGTTCTACTATTATACATACGAAGTGAAGTATATGTTGATAATGTCACTGCACGTTTTTATTCGTATTTTACAGGTAATTCACTTGATTTCAACATAAATGATCGTATTTTGAATAAATGAAATGATTATTCTAGTTTCAATATTTATTTGTTCTCATTTCATGATTACATGAAACCTGAATAGCAATTGTCGATTTGGCTATTCCCCGGGCTTGATCAGTCCTTCACCAGATTGCTCGTAATCAGTATTCAATTCCTTGTGCAATGTTTGCCAAACTGGGATTGTGTAGACTCTAATAATATTAAAATTCATAATCTATGGAAAATTACTGACACGTCCCTAAATTATTTTCTCAAAATTATCATCTCGTCCAGTCAAAATAAGCTATGAAGCAATTTGTTTAAAATTTATCAATTAACCAATTAATTATATCAACACTCGGACTCACAGGTGTAGTATCATCTATGTAAACACCCAATTAACATGTCCATCCCAGCCCCAGGCGTTCACTGTTATCCAGGGAAGTCCAAGCTGCATAAATTTTACGCTTGATTGACGTGTATACATGCGCAATCAAAACTTTAAGAGATAGAGAGTAAAAAACAATGAAATGTGTGTAACGGGACCCAGGTCTTGCTTCGAGAGATTGGAGTTTGAGAGATCAGGAGTAAATTTGCTTAGTTATGTAGAGGAAAAAAACGGGACTGGCGTTTCACGTCGAGAAATCGGAGTTCGAGCCATCGAGAGTCACCTGTATATAATATTCTAAGAAGCTAAACAGCTGTTGTTATTAACCTGGTATTTCCAAATGTTAATGGTTTACTCTTTTATTAGTATGAAATATTATAGTTTTTTAAAGTGTATGGAAAGTATTTGTATTTAGTAAATGAATATTCATGATGGCTTAATGTTCGTTGAAAATTCTTTGATCAAGAACATAGTGAAATTAAAACTATTGCAATGTATTTCACTTTTACAGCATAGTTATAATCTTTCTGGTGATCTCTTTAATTGTTGATATCACAGTTTTTGGTACACACACACTTACTATATATATATATATATATATATATATATATATATAATATGTCAATGAATAGTTGACTATTCAACTATCAGTGAAATGGACCGACAATCGAATAATGAAATGACATTCAAATATTATTATACATGTAATTAAATAAATGCAATAAAAGAGTGATGACAAGATGGAATTCTCATCACAAAATTGAGAAACTGTCTTTCCTCAGAGACAGTCAATAAAATAATTTACATCTTTAATCAAGTATCTCAATACTGAATTTAAGTTTAAAGCTAAACACTACTCATAAATGGGCGCCATCACATAGGTATAAAAACCCTTTGATTTCGTTACACCCGATTGCATACTTGAAACTAGTGGCCGATATGTAGTATTCCTTCCATGGTCTTAGATTTTGTGCATTTATTCCTTGTTTTTATGTGCATTTTCTGTTCGTAAATAATGTATTGACTTGTATATTTGATGTTACTTTTCTACTGGCTTGGTAAAAGTGCATGAAATTTGATAATTTCATCGTGACCGAGTAGCACGACAATGAAAGATGTACGTCTATACTTGTCAGACCTCTACAGCAAAATACCTTGAACTGTTAAGAGGTCTGCGGCTTATATAGGGGTTGTATATATAGGGGTTGTTATACAGGGGATAGCGAGGATGAACGAGAAATATGGCGGACAATGCGAGTAGTGTTAAGCTTTAGTGTTTATAAATATACATGTTACATGAATTAAAAAATATTTTATATATATATATATATATATATATATATATATATATATATATATATATATATATATATATATACAGTAAAACTTGTTGAATCTGGATGTTGTGCATTCCGGCATGTTGGTCAGTCTGGCGTAATGTTTTAGCCCCAAGAATTTTCTTTATAATTTATGTTTAATAAATATTGTTCAATCCGGATCTTGACTATTCTGTAAACCGGCCGCTATTTGAAGAACTAACTGCTCATAAATAGTACAAATTATCTCCTCTAATCCAGCCACTTATGTTTACCTGTGCCCGCTGGTCATTACCGAAGTCTCACGTGGGGTAATTATTGTCCCGTTAATGATCTCTCCTGTATCGACAGTTTAGATATTAACAAACGCGATAAATAAATCATTAATGGTTCAAGTAAGGCGATGGTTGCGTGTAGCATGTCTGTAGAAAAACTTGGAGACTTATTCATGACCTCCTTTCTACTTTTGTTTTGCGTGCATGACGTTGCAATTCCAATTACTTCCCTTTGTGTCGCTAGTTTACAACGACCATAACAACAGAAGACTTTGGTCCAATATTCATTAAAACATTTGAAATTAACAAATACAGTGTCAAAATATTCAAACATATTAATTTTAAAAGAAAGAAATTAATTAGCAATCTGTCCCTAACCAAATAATATTTACAGCTACGATGAGGTTTTAGAGTGTGTTTAAAACATTTAACGATTTTCAAATTTAATAAATGACCAAGAGATATTATATTTCGTTACTGAATAAAAAAAACTTTAAACAGAAAGGAAAAAATTCTGAAGAACAAACAGAGTTCAAAACAAACGAAATAGACAATTTTTTCAAGTGAAACATTTGATCAAGTATTTATTTACCACTCTTTGTTTATATCTATGTAATTTTTTGAACTTGCTATAACGGTTCAATTATCTCCAATCCGGATGTTGTCTAATCCAGCCAAAAATTTTGGAACCACTGGTCGCCGGATTAGACAAGTTTTACTGTATATATATATATATATATATATATATATATATATATATATATATATATATATATATATATTAGGGATGTCAAATCGGTCAATTTTTGATAATTGGTTACTCGGACGTTTTTCCGATCGAGTACCCGGGTACTCGGTAAAAAAAATATAAATACAAGTGTGTTAATTTTCTTGAGCCCCGTTAAGTTATATTAAACTCCTAAGCTGTTTTTATCATGTTTATAAATGTATATAAACATTGAGTCCAACGGGGATGATTTTTTGGTACTATATTTATTTATCAAACAAACACAAAAGACACAATTAATGCATCAAAAATTAGAAAAAAAATTGTTTACAGTTCTTCTTTAGGATCTATTCATCAACGCAAAAGGAGGACAATCTGTTACGCAGGTTTGTGGTGATTAGACTAGCGAAAGAGAAGGAACAGACGTTGTTGGGATCGCTAATCTAATATTATTTCATATGCTGGTTGTTTCCCCCGTATACACTAAACTTATTACGCAAACTGACTTTCAATATTTTTTGAATCTTTAATTATTTCTAAATATTTCTCAACTTTTGAAGTGGGTACTAGCATGTCCGATTTCAGTGCCGTATATTAACTTAATAATTTTAAAATGATTTGAAGATAATGGATCATATTTAAGCGATGTTCACTGAAAACAATTATTGAAGCCATCCAAAAATCAAGGACCACAATAGGTGAGAACAGCTGTGTACCAGGTGACTGGTCACTAATTACAGTATACACACTGCCACAGGCGATAAGGGGTGTTTTACAGGTGTAAATGACGACATGCTTATTACCGTATGCATATTAAAGTTGTTTTTTGGATAAGTTTTTGAGAAAAATATGTACTTTGAAATAAGAAAAAATACACATCCGAATAACCGAGTACCATTTTCAGTATTTGATACTCGGACGTTCGATCGAGTACCCGGTTAACCGGGTACTCGTTGACATCCCTAATATATATATATATATATATATATATATGCATGATATATAAAAAGTAAATTACAGGAATTGTTTTTAAATTTTTGAAATATTCTATAGGACTCAACAATAGTTTAGCTGTATATCTCAAAACATCTCTGTGCTTTAAAGCTGTATGATTTTGCAGTGCAACTGCAGGCCTAATTTAAATATTTGAAATGTGCTGCATCTGTGCAGCAAATCAGTACTGCTTTGCAGTGCTAAGGTAGTGCTGCAGGACAGCATATGTGTTACTGTTGAAGCAAATGCACTGCACAGCAGAAACTTTTAAAGATGGTCTTAAAGATAAATATATAACACAGAATCAGGAAAAATACAAACTTTCTATTATTCAAGAAAGTCTTTAAAATCCAAATTAGAATCTGCATCACTGGAATTTTTTCCGAATGCAAACTGAGCTTAAAAATAAATTTATTTTTTTCAACAATAATCTCACCCAAGAGTCAAGCATCAGTGTGAAGGCATTAAAAATGGTAATTCCTATTGTTTCTGATGGAAGCTTTTAGTTTTACTTCAAGACAATAGCCAAAATTTGACTATATAACAGTTATCTAAGTAAATATAGTACAGACCTGCAGAGTGGCTCCTTCCAAATCCTTTGGGATATTCTCCTGAGCTAATACATTGTTTATTGTCATGAAGAGCATTTTTGAGATCTGTCAAAAGAGATTTTCATGTTATGTTTTGAACTCTGGATAAGATTTGACATGGTGAAACCATAGTGCCATCAACAAAAGGCCTATAGGCCACAGTATAGCCAGGTGCAGAGACAAATATTTTCAGAGAATTAATGCATTTTCACTATATTACAAATACAGTTCCACCCTACACCAGAATCCCTGACCCTGGGATGATGAATTTCAAGATTTTAGTATAAAATGAATGTGTTGAACAATATGCCATTCACTTATGACATCACTGTGAAATTACATCAATCATTTATGACTTGATTAACAATGAATTTTTGGTCATATGTCAAACCTGTTTATACACAAAAAGCTAAAATGCCTTGTTCATGTACAGTCAAACTTGTCATAGCGGTCACCTTTATCCAGCAGTCACCTGTCCTATGTCCTATGTCTTGTAAAATCGCTGTTTTACCTCGTATATAGTGGCCATTTTGTTCGATCGCCTGACCAGATCTAAAGTCAGGTGACTCCCAATTTTTGTCACTAATGTAAATAATTGGTCTTGTGTAGCAAGATCATGGAAAAAACAAGATGTGTTGCCCCCGTATGGCAACTTATAGCAAAGGTTAAACTTTCTCAAATGCAAATCAAATATGTTGGTACCCAAAGTAAGGTCTTGTCTCAAGGAATATACCTGTGAAATATGAAAGCCCTAGCAGCAACTGTTGAATAGATATAGAAAAGGTTAAAGTTTTTCAAAAGTAAGTCAAACATCAAGGTCAAGGTCAAATGGTCAAAATTAATGGAGCCTTAGGAAAGGCCTTCTCACAAGAAATATACAGGTGAAATATGAAAACTGAAGCACCAATCATTCAAAAGTTATGACCAAGGTTTAAGTTTTTCAAAAGTAGGTCAAACTCCAAGGTCAAGGTCAATGGATTACAATTGTTAGTATAAAAAGGAAGGTCTTGTCACAAGGATTACATATGTAAAGTATGTAAGCCCTAGCACCAACGGTTCAAAAGTTATGGCCAAGGTTAAAGTTTTTCAAAAGTAGGTCAAACTCCAAGGTCAAGGTCAAAGGGTCAAAGTTGTTGGTATCCAAAGGAAGGACTTGTCAAAAGGATTACACATGTGAAGTATGAAAGGCCTAGAACCCAACGTTCAAAAGTTATGGCCAAGATTAAAGTTGGATAAAATTTTGCAAAACTGGGTCAAACTCTAAGGTCAAGGTCAAAAGGTCAAATCTGGTGGAACCCAAAGAAAGGTCTTGTCACAAGAAATACACAAGTGAAATATGAAAGCCATAGCTACAACCAATCAAAAGTTAAGGGCAATGTTTAAGTTTTTGCGGACAAACAGACAGACAGATGGACGGACAGGGCAAAAACTATATACCCCGGAATCTTTGATACGGGGACATAATAATTGGCTTTATTAGAACCATTTAAAATATTGCATAATTTAGTTATTTTTTTAACAAAACTTAACAAGGGTGCTTGTGACCGAAAAGGTTATCAGGAAAACGGGCTTACGAGAATCTTAATCTTATTGAATTGGAATCTAGTTTAAAAAATTCTGAGTGATACACAAGGCATCCTTATTAATCTATTAATGTATACAATAATTAGGAGTTTCCTAATTATTAGTTTATGTATGGCATGCCCAACTCCGATAGGTGTAATTGTGTAAACGCATGACAGGCTGTTCTTAACACATAAGAAACTACTATTTGTACAAACCCTAATTAAGTGATTTGTATACTGTTAGGGCTGGTACACATGGTAAGGCTTGCCTTATAAGTCTAAAACTTTATGTTTTGCAGGACGTACGGCTCTGGGGTCCAAGATTATAAACACTTCCATAAATCCCACGGTTTTTTTTTTTTTTTGAGCTGTAAACAGTGCATATCATTAAAATAGAAGTATAGATTACTAGCTAGGACTTTGAAATAATTTTACAGACCAGTGCATTCACACTTCTGAAAAAAGAGGAGGTAGAACAAAAGCATTTGCGGATATTTTCATTATCTTATTCGAATATACTTATGTTCCCTTCAATCTACCCACGTGTTTGATAAAAATAGATTGAAATTTGGGTGAATGGATTTCACTGGTTGAGAAGAACATGTCAGCTAAGTCTTGTATTAAGATATAGAGCAGTGCTCTATTCGTAAGTCAGACTTGCAACGCTTGAAAAAACATGCATTAAGGGTGTACACACGGTAAGGCTAAAACTTAAGTTCCATGACTTATAAGGCAAGCCTTACCGTGTGTACTGGCCCTAAAGATGTGTCCTGGTTATATCGTGATTTTCAACTATGTAAGATGACCGTTAGGATTAGTTACGCTTCATTGCTCACAACACCTGTGAATTTGATATCAATTTGTATTATGCACTGCTTTGATAAACTGAGAATATTAAGACTTGTCCATTTATTATGCTTCTATTTATGTATTATTAAAGATACAATTATCTAAACTTGTTTTTTAGAGGCAGTTTAGATAAAAAATACATTATATTTTATTCATGGCACAACATGATAATGTAATCTTGTAATAAAAGAAAGTTTTGTTGTTGTTTGGTCAGGGAGGATAATGCAAGGCCCTTTTAGACTCAATATATTTTTGTTGGATTCATCAAATTTATCTTGAACTTAATCTTGAGACTATCTAAAGAGCTAAGCCCACGAAGGGTTAAAACATGCCCTGTGAAATGGAAATGAAACTGAATTTTTGGTCAAATATTTTTTGCTTAAAAGATAGTCTAGGTATTGTTGTTTATCAAAGTGGAAAAAATCTTGGAGTTCTGTACTTGTATACCTGAGATCTACATCCCCATTTGCTTAAATTTATCTCATTTTTGGGATGAAATGATCAAATTTTATTTTATTTATCCAAATACAACATAAGATAAGTGAAAGTTCCAAATTTATTTACAATACTACTAAAAACATTCTACATTCTAAAACATTCTACATTCTAAAAACATTCTACAATATTTGCCTTGAGGGCTCATGCAGCTTATACAAAGATAAACAGAGTCAATCTCCCAGCATCAGAACCAAATACTAGTTACATAACTGTAAACAGTTGTATACTCTGAGAATCCTTCAGGCTGAGAGCAACTTGCCTATGTGAACACATGCTCACAAGCACCTGTATGATGATGGCTGAGGGCAAGAAATGCTTGCCTATATGAGGCATGTTCACATGCACCTGAATAGATTAGGAATAGAGATTATAGAGTACACATAATAATCCCAAGAGTCCAGAGTCATGATTTGAACAAACTTGAATCTATACTACCCGATGTTTCCATGTAAATATAACCAATCATGGCTTTGCTGTTCTTGAGAAAACAAATTTTTTCAAGATTTTTCCTACATATTCCAATATAAAACTTTCATTGTCCATTGTGGCCCACCCTACCCCTGGGGATCATGGTTTTAACAAACTTGAATCTACATTACCTGAGTTTGTTTCCAGATAAGTTTCATTTTTCTTGGCCAAGTGGTTCTGGAGAAGAAAATTTTTTAAAGATTTTTTCTATGTATTTCTCTGTAAAACTTGATCATATCAAAGTAACTAATCATGGCTTTGCAGTTCTTGAGAAGAAATTTTCCTATATATTCCTATGTAAGACTTTGATCCTCCATTGTGGCCCCGCCCTACCCTGGGGGGTCAGGATTTGAACAAACTTGAATCTACACTACCTTAGGATGCTTCCATATAAATATGACCAATCATGGCTTTGCTGTTCCTGAGAAAAAGATTTTAATAGATTTTTCCTATATATTCTATGTAAAACTTTGATCATCCATTGTGGCCCCACCCTACCCCCAGGGGTCATGATTTGAACAAACATGAATCTACACTACCTGAGGATGCTTCCATATAAATATGACCAATCAGGGCTTAGCTGTTCCTGAGAAGATTTTTAAAATTTTTTCCTATATACCTCTATGTAAAATTTTGATCGTCTATTGTGGCCCCGCCCTACCCCCAGGGTTCAGGATTTGAACAAACTTGAATCTACACTACCTGAGGATGCTTCCGTATAAATATGACTCATCACGACTTTGCTGTTCTTGAGAAAAAGATTTTTAAAGATTTTTCCTATATATTTCTATGTAAACTTTGATCATCCATTGTGGCCCCATCCTACCCCCGGGGGTCATGATTTGAACAAACTTGAATCTACACTATCTGAGGATGCTTCCATATAAATATGACCAATCATGGCTTTGCTGTTCTTGAGAAGAATATTTTTAAAGATTTTTCCTATATATTTCTATGTAAACTTTGATCATCCATTGTGGCCCCGTCCTACCCCAGGGGGTCATGATTTGAACAAATTTGAATCTATACTATCTGAGGATGCTTCCATATAAATATGACCAATCATGGCTTTGCTGTTCTTGAGAAGAATATTTTTAAAGATTTTTCCTATATATTTCTATGTAAACTTTGATCATCCATTGTGGCCCCGTCCTACCCCAGGGGGTCATGATTTGAACAAATTTGAATCTATACTACCTGAGTATGCTTCCATATAAATATGACCAATCAGGGCTTAGCTATTCCTGAGAAGATTTTTTAAAGATTTTTCCTATATATCTCTATGTAAAACTTTGTGGCCCCACCCTACCCTACAAACTTGAGTCTACACTACCTGATGATGTTTCCATAAGTTTCATCTTACCTGGTCCAGTGGTTCTTGAGAAGAAGATTTTTAAAAGATACCAATTAATTTTTCACTAATTCTTAATTATCTCCCCTTAGAAGAAGGTGTGGCCCTTCATTTGAACAAACTTGAATCATCTTTAGCCAAGGATAATTTGTGGCAAGTTTGGTGGAAATTGGTGGTTCTTGAGAAGAAGTCGAAAACGTGAAAAGTTTACGCAGGACGCACACACGCACGCCCGCATGACAACGGACGAAAACAGATAGAAATAGGTCACCTGAGTGACTCAGGTGACCTAAAAATATTCCCACAAAATTAATTTAAAGCTTTTGTTTAAATTT